GCTGGACGGGAGGCCGGACCGGGAGGGAAGGGGGGCTGGTCCTGCGGGAGCCTGAGGGCTGCGTCTGCCCCTCTAGGAGTCCGGGCCGGAGAAGGGCAGTGCTGATGCGCGGGGGCTGGGACCACGCTGAAGCCCGCCGACCCGAGTCCTGAGACCACGGCCACGCCTCCACCGCGGGACCAGCGGCCGCTGCGCGCCTCCAGCCCCCGCCCCGCCCCTCGCTCTGCCCCTGCACCAATAAAACCTTCGTGACAAACCTTCCTGGCCTGTGTGGACACCTACCCTCTCGTGCCTGGCCTCGCGTATGGCGTGGGCGCGCCCGTGTGCGCCTGCGTCTCCATTTGCAAACGTGTAGGCCCTTTCCGGCCCCGTGGGGATCGCAAACCTCGGCGCGCACAGCTGTGTGGGCGCTGCTCGAGATCAGGACGAACAGCTCCAACCGGTAGAACAGCCCTGACTGAATCCCGGTGCCCACTGGGCCTGCGCACCGAGCTGCGCGCCCAGGCGCCCGAACATCTAGGTTTGCGCCGAGCCAGTCCCACCAGGGCCCGCCCGGAGCGCCTCTTCAAAGCTTCCCTCTCTCCGCCCGCCTTCAGCTCGGGAGCCCCGCACTCCCCAGCCGCCTCCCCCTCCCGCGTCCCCCATAACACCTGGCGCCTGGGGCCCTGAAGCTCAGAGACCAATCAATGCAGCAACCCCCCATGGGCCCTGCCCCATCCACCATCCCTTGACCGACCCGCCGGGCCCCGCACCTTGAGGCGCGCGTGGGCTTCAGCTGCGGGCAGCAGGCGGTGGCCGCGGTGGGAACCCAGCGAGGCGCACACGCCGCACACGAGCGCGCGGTCCTGCTCGCAGTAGATGCTGAGCGGGTCTAGGTGCTCCTCGCAGTGGCCCTGCGGCACCTGTGCCAGCCCCTCCACCAGGCGCGCCAGCTGCAGGTTGGTGCTGAGCGCCTGCGGCCGCGTGGGTGCCTGACAGGACGGGCAAGGCGCCGTGCCGTCCGCCCCCGGCTCCCCGGCCACTCGGCTCAGGCAGGCGCGGCAGAAGCTGTGGCCGCACTCTGCTGTCACCGGCGCATCGAACAGCTGCAAACACAGCGGGCAGGACAGCTCCTGGCGCAGGAGACCGGGCGCAGCCGACATGGCGGGCCTGGGTACAGGAGAGGTCAGTCAGGGAGACTCAGCCCAGAAATATCCCCCATCGGGGTCGTTGTCTCAATCCCAGTTCCTAAACACAAGCCCGGGTTGCAGTCTTACCCACTGTCCTTCCCTGACTTAGGCCCAGATTCTCCAAAGCCGCATGCGGACCCTCCCGCCCTCACCTCCCCAGGACCCCCAGCACTCCCCTCCCCATTGTCTCCAGGCCCACAGGATCCATGGACTCACAGGTCTGGTTAGAGATCACGGGCAAAAGAGACTCCCAGGAGGCTCAGCCACCGTGAGGCCTAACAAGCGCAGGGGGTCAGGGTGGTGTCTGAAGACAGGTGAGAGGCAAGCGACCAGCTCAGAGCAGGGCCGGGCACTGGCACTCACGGGGCAGCTAGCAGTGGACACCGCAGCTGACCAGCAGCAGTGACTGGCAGAGGGAGCCTCCCTCGTGAGCTCTGGCCCCAGGACTATATTTAGCTGCCCTGACTCTGCCTCCTATCATTTCTGGAAACCATTCTAAAAGTAAAGACTGAGTGGTCAGGGAACAAGCAACACATGTCAAGGCCACCTGTCCCCGCCCATCCCACTGTCCCCTCCGCTGCCCAATCTGAAGCCAGCGCTCAGAGCCAACAGGACACAGGGCCTCTCCATAGGAGAGAAGAGAGATCTGCCCTTTCTCCCCCCCCCCCTCCACGCCCACGCCCACGCCCACGCCACAATCCGCAGCCTCCCCCTCCCCAAGGGCGGCCCCTGCCCAGCTTGTCACTATTTCCCAAGCTGATGACAGTATTATCTCCCCCTGCAGGACAGCGCCTCGCCCCACCTGGAAGGTTTTCTTCCTCCAGAGCTGAGGAAAGAGTCTTTTTTCTGTCTCGCCAGAGCTCAGCTCAAGCCCAGGGACAAACCTGGCCTCCCTAAATGCTTGAAAATAAATATTTGACTGACAATTGAATAAATGAATGAACTGAATCCAGAGCCTGCGGCCCAGAAGCAGAGTCCGCCTGGGAGCCCCAGGCCCCTCTGTATGCTGATCCTTGAAATCTCCGCTTAAATTTCATTGAGAATAAAAACCAAAGTCCCTGTGGCCTACAAGGCTCTACCCAATTAGACCCGTTTGTCTCTCACCCGGCACCCCCTTGCTCACTCCAGCCAGGCCTTCGTACTTGCCATCCCCTCTTTCTGGAAAACTCTTTCAAAGGAAGATCCTTATTTTTTTATTTTTTTTATTTTTTAAGAACAGGTATCTTTCTATTGGACTACCTGATACAGAGGATAGTGTGGTATGGATGGATAGTATGAATGACAAATAATACAAATATATTTTATTTGAAATAAACAAATATGCTTACACAGCTCAATAGGTCACTTGGAAACAAACTCTTGCTTGACTGTATTACTGAGCAAAAACAAAGCTGAAGCACAAACACCCTTCTTTTTTGACATGTATATGCAGATAGGTAGGAAGACGCTACTTGGTTTTTTAAAAACTGACCTTCCCTTAAGGCCTGGTCATAGAAGTGTAACCAATGTAAATGAATCCACCGTTTCAGTTGTCATATCATATCTATGTCACCTGTGTATTCTGAGATCACACATATACCTGCCAATAAACCTGGAAGGGTTGCTATACCACAGTTACATTTAAGTTCTTGGCAGGCAGGACTGAGGAAAAGTCATGTAGAACAAGTTTTACATCCTATTTAGAACAATTGCTAATATTCCCTTAAATAACGGCTACAATAGAAAGATACTGCCGGGAAGTTATCCTTTTCACTTGGTTCATTTTTAGGTTTTGTTTGTGATTTACAGAGCTGTTCGATTTGTTTGCCTATACAATCCTGCCACATGTATTAAAGCACAGATACCTATTATTTCTTCATCTTCATTTTTCAACTCTGATACTCTACTACATCCCTCGTGTGTCAGCAGTTCTGGGATATTTAACAAAAATAATGGATAAAACTCTGCTAAAAATGCAGATGTCTACAACTATAATGGTACTAGACGGGAAGGAGACAATAAAGAAGGGAAAAAGCAAACACGTTCATGTGCAGGGAATGTGGTTCAAGTCTTTGGATTTAAAAACAACTTCCCTGGAGAAGCTGGCTCTAATGGAATTTCCAGAAAACTTCCTGTGCCCAACAAAAGGACCTGAAAAGCCCCGATCCAAACTTTTGAAAACCACAGTTACGCAATGTGCCAGGAGATGATCAAGGCAGTTGAGGGAGAGGATGGATGTGTCTTCCATTCGGCTACAGTTGGTAGCACTGCCTCTTTAGCTGTTGATGATCAGTATAAACCATGGAAGTACCAGGTGTGCTTTGAAGGACAGGGGTAGAAAAGCACTGAATATATTACCTGTCTATACCAGAAACAGGACTTTATGGCTAGGAAAATTTTCTAAACAGTAAAATGACTCCAGGATAGATCTTTCTCTCCATCATTAAATGTGGCAGAATTTTTTAAAAGTTTACAGGTAGATATAGTGAAAACAGAAAATTACAAGTCAGAGAACATAAAAGTATCAAGACAATGCTATAGGTTCAACAGTATTCCATGAGGCTAGAAAACCTGTTAACTTTGAAAGCCCTAGCAAAATATCTCTCCTGTTTATAAATCACTTACTTATCATACTAGAGGCCTGGTGCACAAAAATTTGTGCACTCGGGGGGGTCCCTCAGCCTGGCAGTCTCGCAGTCTCGCAGTCTGGGACCTCTCGGGGGATGTCCACCTGCTGGCTTAGGCCCGCTCCCCGGGGGATTGGGCCTAAGCTGGCAGTCAGACATCCCTCTGGCAGCCTGGGAGCCCTCGGGGGATGTCCACTTGCCAGCAGGGAGCAGGCCTAAGCTGCAGTCGGACATCCTTAGCGCTGCTGAGGAGGCGGGAGAGGCTCCCGCCACCACCACTGTGCTGGCAGCAGTCAGCCTGGCTTGTGGCTGAGCAGAGCTCCCCCTGTGGGAGCGCACTGACCACCAAGGGGCAGCTCCTGCATTGAGCGTCTGCCCCCTGGTGGTCAGTGTGTGTCATAGTGACCAGTCATTCCCAGTGATTCTGCTGTTAGGGTCAATTTGCATATTACCCTTTCATTATATAGGATGACCATACATTGAAACCTTTCTTTCCATGTACTGAGGAATCTTACATTCAGCCTTTAAGCACTCTGCATTTCTTTGCCAATCTTGTAGCTGAGTATCTTGTTCCAGTCGATTTTGGTGCGGGTAACTGGAAGCTGCCGGCACAAGGCTTTGAATGTGGTGTCCAACATTGTTTGATCATTTTCACTAATTGCTGTCTGATACTCATTTTCTGCATGTTCTATGATTTTAATAAACTCCTTGGCAGTTTGTGCTTCCTTCGAAACAGTTACTGAATTCTGTACGTGTTTATGACTAACCAACTGAGCATTGCCATCTTCATAATAGTGTACCTGAATCTTAAGTACTCCAACCACCTGGGCTGTAGGCGGTGTGATGGTGAACTTCCCATTCTGATCTCCAACGACCATTCCAGAAATTTTTAGGCTGAAACTGGTGGCTTTCAATACACGCAATAATGGTCTGTTGCCCATCTATAGTTTTAGCATAAACAGTACAGAAGCCACTGGAATAATGGTCTTTCACATAGGCCCTTAAAGCACTGTCACAGGATTCTCTCCAAGACTTCAGATCTCCATCTACTTCCTCTGGCTGGGGGACACTTGCTTCTTTCCATAAGTGATCAAACTTAAAGGGAATTTTGCCCTAACCGGTTTGGCTCAGTGGATAGAGCGTCGGCCTGCGGACTGAAGGGTCCCAGGTTCGATTCCGGTCGGGGGCATGTGCCTTGGTTGCGGGCACATCCCCAGTGGGGGGGGGGGCGTGCAGGAGGCAGCTGAATTGATGTTTCTCTCTCATCGATGTTTCTGACTCTCTATCCCTCTCCCTTCCTCTCTGTAAAAAATCAATAAATTATAATAAATAAATAAATAAATTCCCCTGGGGGTGCATGAGTGATGAATTTAGCAGCTATGCATACCTTCTCCTCATCCGACACCTGATCCTCGAAGTGGGCCACCTTGGTCTCTCAAAGGAAGATCTTTAGCCAATGTCACTTTTTCAGTGCAGTTTTTCCTAACTCCCTGATTTTAAATCTCACGTCTCCCTTCCCTGCTTTCCTTGTCTTCACAACATTTATCACCACCTGACATGCAAAATATTTAACTTCGTTTTTCGCCCATCTCCTCCTACCAGCATACGTGTGTTCACTGCTTGTCTCCAACTTAAAAGTAAGTGTGTGGCACCCAGCAGGTGCTCAGTACATACTCAACAAAGAAATCAACACAGGAGCTTCTGGCCTCCCGGGCACCCCCTCTCAGCCTTTACCCGGATTTGCTCTTTTCCTCGACCGCTCTCTGTCTCTCAGAGTTTCTGTTTCTGTTTCAGTCACTTAACTTCCTCTTTGGACTCTCTCTTTGCCTCTCTCTCGGGATTTTAATATTCATGTTTATGTGTTTTACACCAAATTTGCACACAAGGTGTTCTGGATCAGAGACAGACTTCTCATTAATTACTCACAGTAAGTGGCAAATGTTTAGCCCCCTGTGCCCTGGGATGATGGGATGAGAGCCAGGTCCATTAACCTGTGAGAGTAGCCAGATACCCCATAGGTTAGCAACAAAAATTATTTTTCCTGCCCTATCTGGTTTGGCTCAATGGATAGAGCGTCGGCCTGCAGACTGAAGGGTCCCAGGTTCAATTCCAGTCAAGGGCACATGGCCCGGGTTGTGGGCTCAATCCCTAGTTGGGGGCATGCAGGAGGCAGCCAATCAGTGATTCTCTCTCATCATTGATATTTCTATCTCTTTCTCCCTTCCTCTCTCTGAAATCAATAAAAATATATTAAAATCAATAAAAAATAACTATTTTTCCTGCTTTTTAAGGGGAAGGAGGCACCCTGGCTGGTGTGGCTCAGCTGGTTGGGCATCAGCACCTGCACCAAAAGGTTGCTGGTTTGATTCCTGGTCCGGGCACATGCCCAGGTTGTGGGCTCGAATTCCCATGTGGGTGTGAAGGAGGCAGCCAATTGATATTTCTCTCTCTCTAAAAATCCATTAAAAATTTTTTTAAAAACAACATATTTTTATTGATTTCAGAGAGGAAGGGATATATAGAGAGAAAGGCAGAAACACCAATGATGAGAGACCTCAATTGGTTGTCTCCTGCAGGCACTGCAACCAGGGCCAGGGATCAAGCCTGCAACTGAGGCACGTGCCCTTGACCGGAACTGAACCTGGGACCCTTTAGCCTGCAGGCCAACGCTCTATCCACTGAGCCAAACCAGCTAGGGCAAAAAATATATTTTTTTTTTAGAGGGGGGAGGAGGCAACTGTCCCCCTCCTCTGCTTAAATGTCTAAATAAATCTCCTCAGGAGTCAGGATAGCTCCTTGCACATCTTGGCTTTTATGACAAGTCTCCGAGCTCTGGACTTGTCTCCAAGCCCTGGGGCTCATTTCTTCTGGAATGTTTGAAGATTAGGAAGCTACTCCAGGCTTCCTGGCACCTTGGGGCTTAGCCTAGGAACTTTGTTCAAGCTGTAATCACTTGGGCCCCTCAGGAAGAGATAAGAGTTTTACTATTTTTTTGAATGGGAGCAATTACCTGAACAAATGACTCCAGACTGAATCTCCTGATATGTGCGCAGTCTCAGGGAGCTAAGGCTTGCTTTCAGGATCCAGAGAAGTCTGATTTCTCCACTGGATCTCTAAGTCTCTGGTTGTCTCTCTGCCACTTTTGATGGCTCGGACTTGGCCTGGGGGTGGCAAACAGGAGGGGAGTAAAGGTAAGAGCAGACCTGGAGCTGGACTCTGAAACCACAAGCCACTTCACTTTGGCTCAGAAAGTCAACATCCCGAAGGTAGACCTCACCTGGAGTTCTCATCCCTGCCAGGCTGGGGCTGAAAGAGTGGGAACCCAGGACAGGGAGGAGACAGACAACTCATTCCCTTTCTGTAGATGAGCCCGGTCTGACCTCTGACCATGGGAAGGGACATGGATTGTCTACAACAGATTGGAGGACGAGAAGGGGCCAGGGATCATGTCTAGCGGAGGAGAGGAGGACAAGTGTCACTGACCCTAAGACAGCGCTGGGGCCCAGAGCTCCGAGGCTGCAGGTGTTAGGTTGTCCTAAGGGAGAGCATCCCAAGAGCTGGAGTGGCAAGTGCAGCGGGAGATGAGAGCCCCTTGTATTGGATACATGCAAAGGAAGCCAGAACTCCCCAAGCAGGACCGCTGCAGAAGCAGGTCCTGAATGCTGACACCACGAGCTCAGGAAAATCGCCTCCCTCTCTGGGCTTCAGCATCTTCAGCTACAATATAAGGATAAGGAGGCTAAGAACACCAGCCCTGTAGCCTTGTCATGGGGATTAAACTAGACAATATAAGTAAACACCAGGCGGGGGTGCTGGCACCAAAGGGTTTAGGAAGGGCGAGGTTAACACTTGACTCTGCTCTTTCCTTGTTGTGTGACCTTGGGCAAGTTATTTAACATGATTTACTCACCTGTAAAATGAGGGTTATTTAAGGATCAGAGCATTGGATTGTTATGAGGATTCAACAAGCTAATTCTTGTAAAGCACTTAGAACAATGCCAGGCCCATAGAAAATGTTCACTAAATGTTGGCAATTGATATCATTACAATTATTATTACTAATTATTCCAATGAATCTTCCCTGCATCATCCCCAAATTGAGAAACTGAGGCTCAGAAACTTCAATAATGACAAAGGCACCTACTATGTGTCAGGCCTGTTCCAAGCACTTCACAATTCTGAATCCATTTATAATCTCCTAAATCCAGTTGTAACCTTATAATAACCTCATCATTATTCCTATCTGACAGGGAGGCCATGAGACACAAGAGATTAAGTGACTTGCCCAATTCCTGGAAGTCTATGGGCCCTCTGGACCCAGGAGGCCCAATCTGGCTCCAGCAATCAAAGGGTTACTTTGTTGGGTGGAGGGTCACACCCAGGAACCAACTTACCACCAACTGCTCTGGCTCTAATCCAGGGGCGAGGGTGGGCCAAGAGGTAAGACTAGGAGGTTCTTTTCTGCCAGGGGTCAAAGCTCAGAGCTCTGAGACTTCCCCCGGAAAAGGGGGTCAAGGCAGAAGCGATGACCATGGATTCCCAGGGGGCTGCCCAAGCCCCCTATTCCCCACCCTCCCAGGGCAAACCACCTGGCAGTCTCCCGGAATGAGCAGGCTCTGCCTCTACCTCCCTGGGGGACCCTGGGCACCTTACAGTCCTTTTCAATGAGGTGAGCCTATTCATGACACAACAAGCAGAGCCCAGAGAGGGGCTGTGACCTCCCTACGTCACACAGCTAAGAGGCAGAGGGCCTGGGAATCAAACGTGAGTGGGTCTGACACCCCTTCTCTCCTGCTTGTCCCACTGTTCCGCAGTCTCCGAAGAGGAGGAAGTTACTGTTAGCATTACTGTTACTGCAATGCCTGCCCTCCGGAGGGTGTTTGTGGACAGTCTGGAGGAGGCATAAATCCCCTTATACATAACTCTCCAAGCAATTTGTCCATTTTTGAGGAAGACATGGGACTTTAAAATGGTGGCAGGCATCTGGGCCTAGGAGTCAGATGGACATGGGTTCAACCTGTTTTCTCAGGTGTTACCAGCGTAGGCTTCCAGGGTAATTTCTGAAAACCTCAGTTGTCTCCTCTGGAAGGTGGGCTACATACACATGCCTCATAGGGCTATTGGGAGAATTCAATGAGATTATGAATGTTATGTGCTTAGCACAGTGACCGGAACATAGTACATTAAAGAAATGAAAGCTGTTGTCACTATTATTTGTCTTTCACCAGCACTTATATGGGGTTGGGCATCTAGTAGATCCTTAATACCTGTTTTTAGAATAATATAGATTCTTCCCAAACCTGGGTCCTCCTGAGTTCAGTGTCTACAGTGTTCTCCTAGAGCACAGACACCTATCAAGCAGCACCACTTGCTCCCACTGAGTTCCAGCCTGAAACCACTGCAGGAGTGAGGCTTCCAGTTCTAGGAGAGGACGGCTGTGTGTCCCGGGCCCCTTGTCCCGTTGCCTCCTTGCGACATCTCACCAAAGTGCTGGCACTTGCTCTGAGGCGATGTCAGGTGAAAACCACAGCCAGGTTCTCCTGTGTATGAGCAGGAAGGTGACTGGGCTTGGATGCCAGGGGCAAGCTGGGCCCAAAAAGAAGGCTCCTGGGTGGTGATATGCAGGGATAAGGGAAGAGGCACAGTGTCCCTTATCTAATCTTAAGGGTCGGGACTCATGAAACTCACATTCTGATGAATTGAGATGAATGCCAAATAAATAAACAAACAAATGGATGTGCAATATGTCAGGGTCACATCACTAGAAGGAATGGTGATTGTTACAGCGCCGTTGAAAGGGATAAATGAAGTCCCAGTACCCGACTAGGAACAAGAGCCAGAATTCCAACTGGGGACCGCACGGCTTCAAGGCCACAGTCCTTCAGCTCCTGGGAGCTGCGAGGCACCCCTTCCAGTTACTGGTACCCTCCCTTGAGCCATGGAGCCATTCGCTCATTGTTGATTCCACGAAGATTTATTGAGCACTTACTACCGGCCAGGAACGGTTCTGGATGCTGTAGCTGTAACAGTGATGTGGACAGGCATGGTGTGAGGCTAGGAAGACTGGTACTAAACACACACACCGAGTTAGTGCAATGCAGCCACAATTGCTATGAGAGCTACAGGTAAGGAGCAGGTGTTATGAACTACTCTGGGAGGCATTCTAAACCTGGTCTCCCTGAGAAGGTGACATTTAACTTGAGACCTAAAGTCTCAAGAGCTTATCAGGCAATGAGTGAGGGAACAGATTTCAGGTTGAGGGAGCAGCCTGTGCAAAGACTGAAAAGCAGCAGAGGCGCCTGGCACATCTGAGGAACTGAGAGGCCAGTGTGGTTGGAACTGAGCTGGAGGGAGAACAGGATGTGGTGCAAGACAAGGCTGAGACCCACAGGGCCAGACCGACCGCGCCTTCCCAGCCGTGTGAAGAGCAAGCGAAGGATTCTGGGCACAGCTTGGCCTCCAATCCCCCAGCTTTCACCTGCTCACCTGGGGCAAACCACCCAGAGTGACTCCCACCATGGCTTTCCCTCCGGTCCAGAATTTTCTCAACTATTACAGTGTCTCTTATCATCGCGTCCCCAGAACCTCGGCTCCTGGGACCAAATCCTGGCTCTCCCAGGAAGTCCTGACAAGGTTTCAGGAGCCACTGGGTAGCCCCGGTCATGCTGGAATATTTACTAAGTGGATAAGCGGGTGTTATCTCCATTTTACAGGTGAGGAAACGGAGGCTGAGAGATAAAGTACTCACAGCTATTCCCCTCCCTTTTTTTAATACCTCATTCCACCCCCCCCCCACCCCCCCACCCCCAGTATGTGGAATTGGGAGCTACGAGGTTCTGGCTGTTAGGATTCTGATTCTAATATCCTCTGGCATGTGAGAGAGGATGCTAAAGTTCAGGGGAAGGGGGAGATGTCGGGGCTTCTGAATTTCAAGATTCTAAGCCGTGGCACTCCAGTTAAGTGGGTTCCTGGTCCGTGCCAGCTAGTGCAAGCCTGGAGTCGCGGGCACCACCCATGAGCGCCTCCCTCTCCCGTCTGATCTCCCGTGTCCCACCTGGAGGACCAGCTGGAGGATCGGTTCCTGGCGCCCCCTCTCCATGGCCAAGAGACTGGCACCGGAGGCCTTGGGAGTGGAGGGGGGCGGGAGAAGGGACACAGGGATAGTCTGGGATGACCTAACTCCCACCCCAGGGCAACGGGCTGGGGCAGAGGCGGTGTCGGGAGAAGGCGGGAAGCTGCAGGTCCCGCCCCAGAGGAGACTTCCTGGTGGGCGGATACCCCGGTGAGCCGCAGCCGCGGCGGGGGGACCCCGGCGCCATGGCGGGCACGCGGGACGCCATCCTGGATGCGCTGGAGGAGCTGACCGCTGATGAGCTCAAGAAGTTCAAGCTGAAGCTGCTCTCCGTGCACCTGCGCGACGGCTACGGGCGCATCCCGCGGGGGGCACTGCTGCCCATGGACGCCGTGGACCTGGCCGACAAGCTCGTCAGCTGCTACCTGGAGGCCTACGCCGCCGAGCTCACGGCCCAGGTGCTGCGCGACATGGGCATGCAGGACACCGCGGAGCGGCTGCAGGCCCCGGCCCGGGCCCGGGGTGAGGAGCCCTCCGCCCCCTCCGCAGCCCCTCGCCTAACCCAGCCCCAGCCGAGCATTTGCCCCTGGGGAGCTTTCGCTTCCTGTTCCTCCTGCCCCCGAATAAAGCTCTTCCTGCTGGGGAGGGAGGCTTCCCGCGCTCGGTCCTGACCCCTCGAGCCTGGAGACACCATGGGAAGGGAGAGGAAGGACCCCTTATGCCGTCTCTTTCCTTTCAGGCTCTGGAGCCGGGCCAGCAGGGATCCAGGCCTCTCCTCCCCAGGTGCCAGCCATACCAGGTGAGGCCTTCACACCCAAACTCACCTTCCTGGGCGCCTCACCAGCCTCACCGACCACACCCCTGCACAGCCTATCTGCCACCAGAACACTCGCATTGGGAGAGAGCAAGGTTGGGCCAGCCCTCCCACCAGCCCACCTGCTCACACACCTTGGGCGGAGCCTCGCTGGGGAGATGTTACCCTCATCCCACTGTATCCGGAGCCCCACCCCCTTAGGGCGCATTTAGAGCCAATCTGAAGCAAGCAGGGTTCCGCAGGAACAGGCCCCAGTCCCCACCCTGGGTGCCAGCTCATCTGCTCTCCCCCTCCTTCCCGCAGCCCCGCACTTTGTGGACCGGCACCGGGAGGCCCTCATTCAGCGGGTCACAGACGTGAACGGCGTGCTGGATGCTCTGTACGGGAGCATCCTGAGGGAGGAGCAGTACCAGGCAGTGCGGGCAGAGGCCACCAATCCAGACAAGATGAGGAAGCTCTTCAGCTTTGCTCCAGCCTGGAACCTGGCCTGCAAAGATCGGTTCCTTCAGGCCTTGAGGGTCACCCAACCCTACTTGGTGGAAGACCTGGAAAGGAGCTGAGGCAGCAGCTGGAACTACCAGGGGTTGGACGTGCAGAATGAGTGATTTTTTAAATAAAAAGTCAGCTTGTACTTGTGTGGGTTTTCCTGCTTCCAGCCTGGCCGGCCGCACATGCAGAGCTCAGCTACACAGCTCAATGCTGCGGAGGCTCAGGGGCAGCTCGCTGCCTTTCAGGGGGAGGGGGCAGCAGGCTCCCCAAACTGTCACCCTTCCTGCCTGTCACCATGGCGAATATTCCTCATTCGCCAGTTAGTGGCTCCTCCAGGGCTATGCGAGAGGGTCCGCCCTTGAGACTCTAGCTAGCCCTGTAGTGCACGTTAGAGAGGCGTGTACACAGGGTCTGGGCGGTGGGAGCCAGGTGTGTCAGAGGCATTGAACTTAGGGCACTCTGCTAGCGGGCAGAGCTTCTCTTTTGCCTTTTCCATGGGAAAGAGTAATTGTACAATTAGGGCAATTTCCAGGGGGCGACAGTAGCATCTAAACATGGAAGACCACAAGCTACCAAACAAAATTCTAGGGTTCCTTCTGGCACTGACAGCAGCAGGCCAAATTACTCCCTTTGCTCCCTGCCACCCCCTGGAGGAAGGCGTTATAGGTTACACTATGTCCAGAAAACATGCCAATCACAAAAGCAAAACTTTATGAATTCTAGTAGATATTCTTCTTGTGATGGAATTAAAGGAAATATGAGTACATACAGTTGACCCTTGAACATGGGGGTTAGAGGTGCTGGTCTCCTATGAAGTCTTAAATCCACATATAAAACTAGTCAGCCCTCACAAAATAAGCAAAATAGATTCATAGTCTGACAGCTGTCAGAGGGGAGGGGAACTGCGGGGCTGAGTGAAAAAGTGAAGAGATTGAGCCCCCAAAATAACAAATACAAAAAAGCACATCAGCCCTGGCCAGTTTGGGTCCAGTTTGAGTGTTGGCCCTCGGACCAAAGGGCCTCAGGTTCAAATCCGGTCAAGAGCGGGTATCTTGGTTGCAGGTTTGCTCCCTGCCCCTGGTTGGGGCACGTGCAGGAGGCAACCAGTAGATAGTAGATGTGTCTCTCTCACATCAATGCTTCTCTCTCTGTCTCTCCCCCTCCTCCCTCCCTCCCTTTCACTCTCTCTTTAAAAAAAAAAGTCAGTGGAAAAAAATCCTGGGATGAGGATTAAAACAACAAAACAAAAACATCTGACACAGAAAACAGTATGGTGATAACCACAGGGGAAAGGGGGTGAGGGGTAGAAGAGGGTCAAGGGGGATGAATGGTGATGGAAAGAGATTTGACTTGGGCTGGTAAACACACAATACAATATACAGATGGTACATCACCAAACTACACTGAAACCTATATAATTTTATTAACCAACTAGTGACCGGTGCATGGATTCATGCACATGGAAAGGAAATTAATTAGAAGGTGGCCAGCGGGGCGGAACTGGGCGAGACTGGCTGGACACACCCTGGAGCCAACCTCCCACAGTCCCTCCCCAGCGTCTGTAGAGTAGGTGGGGGTCCCTCCAGCAGGTGGGGTCCCTTGGTCTGGCCTGCAGGGATCAGGCCAAAACTGGCTCTCTGACATCCCCCAAGGGGTCTTGGAGTGCGAGAGGGCACTCTGCAAAGTTGCTGTCATAGTACAGGGTGTACAGGGTGTGGAATGCAAACACAAGTGTGCAGTAAACCAGATTCGGGGCCGACAGTGCCCCAGCAACAAACCCACAGCTGAAGGTGGAATCATGTGGCCCCACGAGGAATCGGATTCCCTCCTCTCTGGTTTCAGGGTGCATCACATGAGAACCACTGCTGCCAAGTCACTGCAGCTCTGCAGCTCCTGCATTGAGCGTCTGCCCCCTGGTGGTCAGTGTGCATCATAGCGACAGGTCAGATGGGCAGAGGGACAATTAGCATATTAGCCTTTCATATAGATAGATGTCACCCAATAAATGCAATAAAAAGGTAAAAAAAAAAAAAAAGTCAGCCTTCCACATACAGATATTCCAAACTGTGGAGTCCACCCTTGTACAACTTGCATTTAAACTTTGCAGGTCATCTGAAAAACTCCACTTACTAACTGGACCTGCACAGTTCAAACCCATGTTGTTCAAGGGCCACTGTCTCTCTTCTGAAAAAGTACTTAAGGAGCCTTTTCAGAGCCTGTTAGGGAACCAGGATCCTAGGACGACAACCTGCATACACTTTGCACCAAAAGTCTTTCTAGTTGTAGAGCAGTGAAGTGCTGGGGTAACCAGTATGCAAAACAGGAGGCCCTAAGGAGGAGCCTTGGGAGTTAATCAAACAGGGATCCAGGTATGAGGATATAAGATGATTGGTTCTGTGCCACTCAAAATGATATGATAACCCACAATGAACAAAGCTACGAGAAGATTTCATTTCAATACCCTCGCCTAGATGACGCAAATGCAGTGTTAATTCCCCACACACACTCCTTCTGGGGTGTATGTAGGCTCTCACTCTGAGTCTGTGTAACATTTCCCTATTCTGACCCGGGTCACCAGAGCAACAGGAGAAAACAGGTGGTTAGCTATAGGAGGAGTCTACCAAGACGGGAAAATGTGGTCCCTGTTAAGTGGGATAGCTAATGCTACTTGGGACTCCAGGAGAAAACGTAAGCTTCCCAAAAGGTGGGAATCAGCCCCCACACCTCAGAACCCCGTGCCCTAGTCCTTTCTTTGGCCAGTTACCCATAAAATGCTGATCCATCCTTAACCCTCTTCTACCAACTCTTCTCGAGCCTTATTCAATCCGAGATATGTTCAATCACATGTTCTGCAAGGACCTTACCATTTCCAAAAGTGAATCTGTCTTCCTTTTACCCACCCTGTGGATTTTGTAATCAAAGAAAACACGATACGATAATTTCAAGAGAAACATCAAAAGTGCTTTATTCAAAGTAATGTCCATCGCTAGCTACACATTTCCCCATCTTTCAGGTAATTTGTGAATAGCGTCCCAATAGAACTTTTCTTGTTTTGAGGCAAACCATTCAGAGACCCAATTTTCCACTTCCTCGTACGTTTTGAAGTGCTGCTCAGAAAGTGCGTGTGCCATCGATCCGAACAAGTGGTAATCTGAAGGAGCAAGGTCTGGTGAATACAGCGGATAGATTAATACTTCCCAGGCAAGATCTTTTAAGGTGTCTTTAACTGGTTTTGAAGTGTGTGATGGTGCCTCATCATGAAGCAAAATTACTTTGCTGTGTCTTATGACACATTCTGGTTGTTTCACAATCAAATCGTGGTTCAAATTGATTATTTGTTGTCGGTAGTGATCAGTATTAACGGTTTCACCTGGTTTTAGAAGCTCATAATACACCACACCTTCCTGATCCCACCAAACACAGAGCATTGTCTTCTTTCCGAAGCGATTTGGCCTTGCAGCCGATGTTGATGGTTGATCTGGATCAAGCCATGATTCTGTGCATTTGGGATTCTCAAAATAAATCCACTTTTCATTGCCAGTCACAAGTCGATGCAAAAAAGACGTTCTTTCGTGCCACTGAAGCAACATTTTACTGATGACTTTTCAGTTTTCCATTTGTCTTTTGTTCAGTTGATGTGGCACCCATTTTCCTCCCTTTAAAAATCTTACCCATTGCTTGTAAATGATCAGAAATTGTTTGCTGAGCAACATTTAATCTTTCTGCAAGTTGTTTTTGAGTTTGACATGCATATTCATCCAATAATGCTTGTAATTTTTGGTCTTCAAACTTTTTTGGTTGACTTGGATGTCTTTGTCTTTCACATAGAAATCATCACTTTTAAATAGTTTAAACTAGCATTCACAAGTATCTTGAGGTGGAGTATGTTCACCATAAGCTTCCCAAAGTATTCAGCAGCACTTTTCTTCAAAATAATGAATTAAAACTTCCCGAAAATGTTTTTTTGGCACAAAATTTGACACTTTTAAGTGTAAAAATATCTATGATGTTAACACCTTCAGCAAATTTGACATATGAAGTTTTGAAGCTTGTTATCACAACAAAATAGCATACATATCAAATCGCATATATATCAACATATGTGGAACTCCATCTATTGAAAAAAATCCGCATCATTAACCAGTACACCTAGTATCTTTACATGTGGCAACAGCAGCAGCCTAACCAGAAATCTTACCATGTTCCATAAAGCCTAGATATTAGTCAGTCTTGCAATTGCCTTGCTTTTCAACTTCACTGGCCCTATCTGGTTTATGCCTAATGTCTTACCTGCTTTCAAGGACCTGGGTGATCAAAACTGATCATGGAAATGGACTTTCAAGTGTAACATTAGGATACCTAAACTCTCACTCCAGCCCGGCCTGTAAGAACCTACTCAACCTCTCCTATCTTCCTCTCCACCTACCCCATGGTCCCAGCATCCCTATTTGTTCACACCCTGTGCCCTAGCACATGCTGGTCCCTTACTTCTGAACACCTTGATCTACCTGTCCTAGTGTGCACATTGGATGCCTTCCTCTGGGCCCCAGGACACTTCCTACAGAGTCTCTGTGTAATGCAAACCATATTGTCATGGTATATTTTCACCCAGGACTATAATGAGACTGAGCCCCATAAAAAGACATCTTTCTACCCTAACCAGGTGGCTCAGTTGGTTGGAATTTGGTTGGAGTGTCATCCCATACACCAAAAAGGTTGTGGGTTCAATTCCCGGTCAGGGCACATACCTAAGTTGCGGGTTGGATCCCCGGTTGGGGCGTAGTGAGTACCGGCGGCAGCTGATGAATGTTTCTCATATCAATGGTTCTCTCCCTCCCCCCACCCCTTCCATGCTCTCTTTTTTAAAAAAAAAAAAATAAACATATCGTGTGAAGACTTAAAAAAGAAAATCTTCCCAACCTCTGTGCAAGTGTCTTGCATATAAAAAGTAATCGATGAATGACAGCTACTGTGTACCCCTAGTGTCTAACAGTATATATTTTTTAATATATATTTTTTAACAGAGAGGAAGGGAGAGGGATAGAGTCAGAAACATCGATGAGAGAGAAACATCGATCAGCTGCCTCCTGCACACCCCCTACTGGGTATGTGCCCGCAACCCAGGTACATGCCCTTGACCGG